CCAAACAGACTCTGTTACTGCTCCATCTATTTTTATACCTGTTTTTATGCAACAATTAATATTTTCTCGAACATACAATGCAACTCCTCCCCCCTTCCCACCACATCTATCCACATTGAACAACTTAAATCCTGAATATTACACTCAGCAGTCATTTTCCCGACTCTTTAAATCATACCACGTTTCAGTTAATGCAATGATATCAAAGTTCCCAGCACATGCTACCAAACGTAGTTCATTAATTTTATTTCTTGCACTTCGACTGTTAGCATAAATACCATCATATGTTTTTTCTTCTGCACATTTTTCCTATTCATCTTTGTTTTTACACAATTTCTGAAAGTATCATTACCCAGAGTTACTCCATGACAGTTACTATTAAGATTCTTAATATCAGAGCATAAGTCAATATATCCATACTCATTATTAATCATTTCTAAACCCATACCTCTAACTATCCTAGTTTAAAGTCCTAACAACCCCCTCAACTGAGTTAGCAAGAAAACCCACACCTGCCCTGGATAAGTGAACCCATCCCTGGCATACATGTCATTTCGGCCATAGAAGTTGTCCCAGTTGTCAATGAATGGTACTGCATTATCCTTTACAGTGTTTATCCAGCCAACAATTAATACCAATTGCTTGGACAACCATTCATTACCAACACCTCTTCTTGGCAAAATGCCACATATAACAGGGCGCCCCCCCTTCTTCCTAATCATGTCTATAGCTGTCCTGAACTTTCTAACTAAATCCTCACTTCTACGCTTGCCTACATCATTGCCTCCAGCACTGAGGCAAATAATAGGATTGATCCCATTACCGTTCATGATGTTGTCAAGCCGGCTAACAATGTCCTCCATCCCAGCCCCAGGAAAGCATACCCTTTGTCTCCTACTCCTGTCCTTCAAAAAGAATGCCCTATCCATGTATCTAACCTGGCTATCCCCAACAACAACAATATTCTTACCTTCCTTGTTGTCGTTCGTCGTGACGATCCCAGTAGTAGACTCACATTCGTCGGGTAGCACCGAGAATGCGTTGGAGGTTTCCACGGGAGTTTCCACAGCAGTCTCTTTCTTCTTCATCGTTTCTGGCTTTCCCTTCGTCTTCTTGATCGTCAACTTCGTCGTCCCTGCTGTTCAGCCACTGGACCACGATCCCTTCTTGACCTGAGGACTCGAAACAGGAGGACTACTACGAATCCTCTTGTTTTCCTCGGTCAATCGCCGTATCTCCATCTTCGCTGCCCTCAATTCTTCCTTAAGTTGCTGGTAAAGTTGCTCGATGGAGGGCATCTTGGTTCAGTCCACGGGAGCAAACAAGACACTTCTTCACAGAGTTAAGTACAGGTCAGCACTCAAAGTACAGGTCACCACTCAAGAGCACACAAACAGGTCTTCACAGAGCTAAGTACACGTCACCACTGACGTGTAAAGAGCGACATCAGCAAGTTTGCCGATGACACCAAAATAGGCCGTCGAATTCATTCTGACGAGGACATTAGAGCACTCCAGGAAGATTTGAGTAGACTGATGCAGTGGTCGGAGAGGTTGTAGATGCAGTTTAATATAGACAAATGCAAAGTTCTAAATGTTGGACAGGACAATAACCATGCCACATATAAACTAAATAATGTAGATCTTAATATTACGGATTGCGAAAAAGATTTAGGAGTTCTGGTTAGCAGTAATCTGAAACCAAGACAACAGTGCATAAGTGTTCGCAATAAAGCTAATAGAATCCTTGGCTTTATATCAAGAAGCATAAATAATAGGAGTCCTCAGGTTGTTCTTCAACTCTATACATCCTTGGTTGAGCCTCATTTGGATTATGCTGCACAGTTTTGGTCACCGTATTACAGAATGGATATAAATGCTCTGGAAAATGTACAAAGGAGGATGACAAAGTTGATCCCATGTATCAGAAACCTTCCTTATGAGGATAGACTAAGGGCCCTGAATCTTCACTCTCTAGAAAGACGTAGAATTAGGGGGGATATGATTGAGGTGTATAAATGGAAGACAGGAATAAATAAAGGGGATGTAAATAGTGTGCTGAAAATATCTAGCCTAGACAGGACTCGCAGCAATGGTTTTAAGTTGGAAAAATTCAGATTCAGGAAGGATATAGGAAAGTACTGGTTTGGTAATAGAGTTGTGGATGAGTGGAACAAACTCCCAAGTACCGTTATAGAGGCCAGAACGTTGTGTAGCTTTAAAAATAGGTTGGATAAATACATGAGTAGATGTGGGTGGGTGTGAGTTAGACCTGATAGCTTGTGCTACCAGGTCGGTTGCCGTGTTCCTCCCTTAAGTCAATGTGACCTGACCTGACTAGGTTGGGTGCATTGGCTTAAGCCGGTAGGAGACTTGGACCTGCCTCGCATGGGCCAGTAGGCCTTCGGCAGTGTTCCTTCGTTCTTATGTTCTTATAAATGGAAGACAGGAATAAATAAAGGGGATGTAAATAGTGTGCTGAAAATATCTAGCCTAGACAGGACTCGCAGCAATGGTTTTAAGTTAGAAAAATTCAGATTCAGGAAGGATATAGGAAAGTACTGGTTTGGTAATAGAGTTGTGGATGAGTGGAACAAACTCCCAAGTACAGTTATAGAGGCCAGAACGTTGTGTAGCTTTAAAAATAGGTTGGATAAATACATGAGTGGGTGTGGGTGGGTGTGAGTTGGACCTGATTAGCTTGTGCTACCAGGACGGTTGCCGTGTTCCTCCCTTAAGTCAAGGTGACCTGACCTGACTAGGTTGGGTGCATTGGCTTAAGCCGGTAGGAGACTTGGACCTGCCTCGCATGGGCCAGTAGGCCTTATGCAGTGTTCCTTCGTTCTTATGTTCTTATAAATGAAAAAAATGTATCTTGAAACGTAAAAGAGAAAATTTTAAATGAGTTCTTTGCTAATTGACCAGTGTTATATATATATATATATATATATATATATATATATATATATATATATATATATATATATATATATATATATATATATATATATATATATATATATATATATATACATATATATATATGCATATATATATATATATATATATATATATATATATATATATATATATATATATATATATATATATATATATATATATATATACATTGGTACAATATATCAAAGATTATGAATCTTCTCCAGCTTCTCCGAAGCTGGATGCGAGCCCAGTATGCAGCATGCATTTCCACTCTAAATGGCCACGCTGAGGCACTGGAACATGAAAGTGGCTGCCCTTGGGTCCCTGGTGGTGTTGATGAGTCTGGAACCCAGTTCTTTAAGGAAACTTGTGGCATTTTTTCCTCAAGACCCCAAGGTCTCTGATCCCACTGGGACAAATTGATACTGCTGGCTTATGTCCCTGTACTTGCTGATCTTGTACTCCTCCCCTGTGGTCACCAGCTCCTCCCTGTGGCCCGACAGTGATGGATGTAGGTGTAAGCCAGCGTTGACACATAGGTATAGTCCCATGCTAGGAGCTTGCCATTCTTCCAAGGATAGATGGTGACCCCATTAGGGCGGTTTGCTGGGTTGTGGGTATTGTTGGCTGCTAGTAATCGGGGCTCCCTCTCGGCAGGGCATCCAGCTGTAGCAAGGCTTCTCTTTATGATGTCGTTGACTTCATTGTGTTTTGCATGCCAGACCTTGGTTTTGGAACAATTAAGACCATGTAGACCATATTGGTCGGCTTGCGCACCGCCGCAAATACACGTACATTCCGTGTGAATTGGGGCAGCAAGGCGCAGAGCCACTGCAATACAGAGGGGTCTTAGGGTCGAGGTGCGTACCCATTGCCGATATGGGAACTGTTTGGATGAAGTCCCCGGAGTGAAGTGCACCCACAGCTTGGAGACGGGCTGTCGCCCTGTCTGATGTTACAGCCCTAAGCATGTTGGCAAGCACCTTTTCAGTGATGGAGCCATCCCAACTTGACTAATTATAGGCAAGTGCTGCACTAGGTTTTGGTGCTGGAGTAGCAAGAGTCTCCCATTCAGTGATGGCACTGGCGTATTCCTGTATTCCTGTTGAGTTACTAAGGTTGTCCGGAAGAATTTGTTTTATTAACTCAATTTGATATATATATTGTGAACATGAGGCCAACGACTGGCCTCTGTGGAACGCCACATATAATTGACTCCCAAGCTGGTTTCTTTCTTTTTTATGCGAACTATTTGTTGTTCATCGATTAGCTGTACCTAGATCCATGAGAGGAGTCTCCTCTGATGTCGTGAACGGCTTCTTTAACATTATCATAGTATAAGGTAGAATCCTGTTAAAATAAATAAAAAAAAAAGTCCAGATAAGCGTCACACATTCAGATTTCTCCTTGTTGAGACTCGTTGTTATGATCATCGTACAGTTGATAGATCTTAAAATTAACAAATATGTAGAGCTTATTCGAATGACAGAGCGTTTTTCTTCACAAATTATCGGACACAGAAGACATTCGCTTCAAAGGCGTACAACAAGATATGATTTAAGTGTATCAGTTAATGAAAGAAATGAATCAAGAGGATATACATGGGTTGAAACCACCAAATTAAAGTAGAAATAATAACAATTAACTGAAATTGGATAAATGTTCGTTTAAATTTGTTTTAAATAAATTGTGGATAGTGTTGCAGACAACTGGAGCAAACTGCCAGGCAATCCCATGAAGCATTTTTTTTTTAATTATGAAATAAATGACATAATGTGAATTAGAAAATCATTGTGTAAGACCTGCCCAGCATGGGCCAGTAGATCTACTGTTACGAAGGTGCCCTTCACAGGATGGTACGTTTTGATGAAGGCCACTTGATCCAAGGAATTGGAGCTACCCTCTCTTTCCGCTGGATCACTCCTGATTTCCTTCCATTCCCCAGGCGCTGTATAACCCCTACGAGTTTAACGATATCCCATGTATGTGAAAACTTATGCTTTTAACACTTGATGGGGAAGTCATAAAATCTATTTTATAAGAAAATATATTTTTCAGAAATAACTCTTATACAGTACGAGGAACACAAATTCTGATGTTGAGGTACAGTTTGTGTTGATGGTATAACAACACTATGTCTAACAGAAACAATAACAAGTCTACCTCTTCACAAGTAACCCGCACTTACAGAGTAAAATTATCATATTTCGGTTTAACTTGGGCCGTTGTTAAGTCACAACCGAAACGTCGTCATAAGTTTCCTCTTGCAAGTATGTGGCATTTGTGAATGGTTTGAGCCACGGTACTGTGACTTTTATTCTTCTATGTGAACCTCCTAAACTGTTTCTTCATGTGTAATTTCTGATTATGGCTGTCTGTAGAGAGGTGACGGGGCAGGAGGTGAAGGAGCAGAGTAACCCCCACCAATGGAGCCTCCTGAAGATCCACCACCGCCACCACCGCCACCGCCACCGCCACCACCGCCACCGCCACCGCCATAGCCGCCACCACCACCACCACCACCGCCAAATCCAGCGCCACCGCCAAATCCAGCGCCACCGCCAAATCCAGCGCCACCACCAAATCCAGCGCCACCGCCAAATCCAGCTCCACCGCCAAATCCAGCGCCACCACCAAAGCCACCGCCGCCGCCCCCAATAACTTCACCGCCACCTTGGGCTGCGGAGCTGAGGGCAGACTGAAGGTCTCCACCAGTAGGCAGAGTTGGGTTGTCACCTTCACCGTAGTTGACGAAGAACACTTGAGGATTCTCTGGCTCTGGTGCTGGTATTTGGATGACCTTCTGGTCTTGCTGGGGTCGCCTGTTGAGGACGTACACGACATTTTTCTGTTGTGGTGGCGGTATGACAATGGGCTCCTGGCCTGGGCCTCCCTCAGGGGTACGAATGAACAAAATGTTGTGTTCAACTCTTGGTGGAGGAACATAGGGTCGTGGGCCAACGACCGGAGGCGCGGCAGGAGCACTGTAAACATACAAGTTGCGAGTGACAATAGGAGTCACACAACTACCATCAACATGACGGATCTGTCCGGAACCACAGCTGCTGCCTCCACCACCGTAGCCACCACCACCGCCGCCGCCGCCCCCGCCGCCGCCGCCGCCAGAGAATCCTGATCCACCTGAGAATCCTCCACCAGAGAATCCTCCGCCACCACCAGAGAATCCTCCGCCACCACCAGAGAATCCTCCGCCACCACCAGAGAATCCCCCGCCACCTGACCCATAACCTTGAGGGGAAGCGTGGATAGCAGCCACCAACACCGAAGTAATTATCTGAAGAGATAAATACATCTTTATTAGTTTTGAATTGGAAGTCATACTAAAACAATATTACATACTAAAATAATATTACGTCCGTGTGTTATCAAATACATGCTAAATATACAAACACCCGAGATGAGGGGGAAATAGGGAGAGGAAATAACACCGTAATTTCACTGACGAAACAAGAATATACAGATATATTATGAGTACGATACCAGGGAGCTGCATGATGATTTGTTTAAGTCATTAAATAGATCATCTTTCCTCAAAATTTTACTTTTTCCTTCAGGAAAAAATAAAATTCTGGGGAAAGATCATTTTTAATATATAATAATAACAACCCATGTTAAGCACTAAACCCATGCATGAGTCAATCAGCACAAGATATGATGGAGGCTTGATCCTCCGTCTGCTGAGCGCCAGACAGACGCATTTCCTGTCTATACTCGCTTAGATGTTCCCGGGGAAAGTAAGTAAGTGCGGCGTTTGTAAACAAAATGATTAAGCTCCTAGCGAGTGAAGCAATTCCGAATGAGACGTTGTAAAAGTTTCTTTATTACAATAATTAAAGTATAATAAACAGAAGTCCTTGGGTTACACCTCGCTTCTGGTTTATCGATGGGAAAGCCTTGATTAAATTATGTGGGATCATTACTGGTCCTAATGTTACAGAAAGAATGTAAATTCGTTGGAAAACGGTCTCTCTAAATGCTGAGGAGAAAATGGGATGTGAGGCAGGACAACGATGTTCACAACTAGAAATGTGTCATAATCATATATTTTCTATTGCCGTAGTTATAACCATCATATTGGCAATAATGATACACAATATATATATATAATGTGTGTGTGTGTGTGTGTGTGTGTGTGTGTGTGTGTGTGTGTGTGTGTGTATCATTATTACCAATATAACGGCTACAACTACGGCAATATATATGCGATCTTGTGATCTTATTGCATATGTGTATATGCAATAAAATCACAAGGAACAGGTGATATGTTTATTAATATACAATTATTATTATTATTAAAGATTAGCCGGTATTCTCCCGGCCCGGGCCTTTTCCAAGTGGTGGCCCGGCCTTGGCTCCCTCTTTAGGGAGTGTCTGAGACCTAAGTCTCCCATGGGAGGAGGCACAAGTACCTCCTCATCTTTGGGACCAACTGTCCCCAGGCCTAGCCACAAGCTAGGCCTCTCTGGTCTGCCATCCCCGCCCCAAGGGGGCTAATGGGAATGACAGTCTTATGAGCTAAAGGCTCGGGCTCAGGCACCTACCCTACCCTAGAAGGGTTAGGCATGGTGTCGATGAATATACAATATAACTACAGTGAAAAGTATTATTTTTCAAGCGCCTGGAATATGCAATGACATATATATATGTAAATGCATGTCCAAGAGTGATTCTAGTGTGGCCTAAGTTTGTCAAGTCATTTGAGTTTCTTCTCTCCTGACAACTATTTCTTTTGAAATCTGACAGTTGTCAAAAATGTATGAGTCATCGCGGTGAGACCGAGTGATGCACTAAAACCATCAGTCCTGAAAGACACGATATCTTACGAAAAAATGATAACTGTAATTGAAGACCTGTTTAATACTATTTAATTTCTCATGTGGTTACTCTCAGTAACCACATGAGAAGACTGTGGCCAATATAAAATGAGTTGAAAGACAATCTATTCCGTCGCTTAAGAAGCAAATATATAATTCTAAACCACAGAATATGTTTTTACACCATAATTTGTCAAGTTACTCGCGCATTTCACCGCTGAGGTAATGCTACTGTTGGAGGCTTGACACTGTTGCTAACTAGCAGCTTGGACGATTATCGAGTTATTTCTGAAGTTATTGCCGAGTATCATATCGCTTACTATCAATGCACAGATTGTGCTACTGTTATTAATACTAAGTCTAATACTAGTAATACTATAACTACAACATCTTATGTTAACAATAATAATAATAATAATAATAATAATAATAATAAATGTAAAACTGGTCGGTGCGCCAGTGTTGAAGCTTCATGAAGGTCAGTTTTGTGCAAGCGATTGTTGTTAGCAACAGCAATATACGACAGGAAAAGATAGACAAAAGCAACAGGAGGGTTTACCACTCACCATGAGCTTCATGGTTGTGTAGTGATGATGCTCCCGCTCGCTCGCCCTCTTATATATTCCTGCCTCTCACTTCGCTTCGTAAACATTGCTTTCTTTATCCTCCTTCATAGAATTTCTTCCTTTCTCTTGCGGAGTGAATCTTCTTGGCATGCGTGGCTAAGAGAATTATTGTCCATTTCCATACATGTCATGTCCTCTACGCAACTCGAATATTACATACGACACAGGATTGTTTCAAGAAGATTTTTTCCTTATATTTAAATTTTATTCTATTCTTTGTGTTTAAATTTTATTCTTTTGTAGTAGAGGACTGTATTTCTAGAGTAACATTTGTTTAGAGTGAATGATCGTTTTATTTAAAGCTATTACCATAAATGACATGGCTTATTAACGACTTGGCTTATTCGCTTTGCCAAAGAAGCCAAGAATATATTACTAAATTTTGCTAGAACTAAGATAAGACAGTTAATCGAAATATTACAAAATGTATACATTTTATTGTTGATAGTAAATAATGCTGACTAAGGTTAAGCCGTCCTTACTTAACCTCTAAAGTCTAAATTTATACTAAGCTAGGTAAATTAAAGGAAGATCATTTTAGATTACTAAGGTAATTTGATGCAAATTTTTAGGATAAATATTAACTGTAGCTCCTGATGCTTTTTATGCAAATTCTTTCATATTAAACGAGTTGTGTTATGTGGCTACTGAAAATTTGTGCAAATCTTAAGAAAACCCTAACTTGATAATCTAACTTAAGGTAATGTAACCTAAGCTAATGTAACCTAGAATTTCTCTTAATTTAGGTTAGGCTTGGGTTAGGTTAGGCTTGGGTTACGTTGGATTAGGTTTGGTTATACAAAAAGAAATCCATTTCCCAAAATATATCTGCTTCCATTGCACATTTCACTTAATATCTGAGAATACACAATAAGCTATCGCTAAGCTCAGTATAGTATGCAGTTTTTTAAATTGCATACCATACAATTTTTTGTGAGTAAATCAGTCTATGTATGTATGAGACAAAGAATATTGAAACATTATATTTAAAAGTAAATTATACTTATTTAGCCACTCGGACCTTCAAAAGCAGGTGAAGGGCTCTTGATCCAATGAATTGTAGCTGCCCTTCCCTTCCCTGAATCAGACCTGATAACCTACTAGTCCTAAGCACTGATTATCCTAATGGGTTTAGCACTTCACCATGAATATTAAAATAAAAATAATATTACAATCTTTTTGCGACTAAGCTTCGTGAATATACATATATTTTCCTCATGACAAGATTTAGATAGTTTACATTATTCTCATGATCATTCATGGGAAAAATATAAATATCATCACTGTCAGACATATTAGGAAGAGTTTAAGATCCTGGTTTATAAAGAAGCAATTCCTTTTTTTTCTAAACAAGCAATGTAAATTTATTGTTGCTATAACTACGATTGTAAAATTAAAATAAACCAAACTGAATAAATTTAGGCTGGACTTTTGTAAGTTGGGTTAAATACAGCTAAACTATAATACTTTAATTTTAGCTCTGATTAAGATATACATCCCTCCTCGGGAAGCATCAGCTCTGGGGCCCTTGCTGCTCAGTATCTACATTAATGGCCTTGATGAGAGAATATAATGTGACATGAGTAATTAAATTAGACTGACGACGTAAAAATGGGCCTACAAATAAATTCACAGAGATACCTTTGATTTAGACAGTTTAATGTTGTAGTTTAAAAAGTGACAGATGATGTTCAATGTAGCAGACTGTACTGTCCTAATTTTCTGGAATTAAAATTAAAATGAATAATATAGAACTTAATAATAATAATAATAACTTGGAAATTATGGCAAGGAGAAATTTGATCCAAATACAGCAGTGTCCAATAGTCCGTAATAAAGCTAACAAACTGATTGATTGCATATATATTAAGAAGCATAAGCAAAGGTTATTTTACATCTATGCACATCATTAGTAAGGAACTGCGACGCAGTCCTAACTTTTCCATACAGAACATTATATATAAATGCGTTAGAGAAAATGCAGAGAAGGGTGACAAAATTAATTTCTTATGCAAGTTATTTTTCATAGATAGACGGACAGCCCTAAAACTGTACTTTCTTGAAAGTTGTAGAATGATATAGGGGATATAAATTGGATGCTTAGGATATCTTACCAAAATAACTAGAAACAATGACTTCAAGTAGCATAAATTCAAGATTTAGAAAGGATGTAGGAAAGTTCTAGTCTGGAAACAGAGAGGAAGACGAATGGAACAATTTGTTAAGTAGAGTTATCGAAGCTAGAACTATGCAGTAGCTTCGAAAATAGGATAGACAAATATATAAGTAAGAAGATTTTGGTTTAAGAAGGGCGACCACCGAGTTAGATGAAATTTACAAGGCTGGTATGGTACCTTGGTTAACGCACCAGTCTTCCAAATTTAGGATTGGTTTGACATGGGTTCGAACTCCACCCGTGCTTCTTGTTGTTTGCATTCGTGTCATTGCGTTTTCACGAGATAATTATTAGCTAGTTATGTACATTTATGTTTTGAGGAGGATCGAAATATTCAGTTTTGTTTCTTGTTTTTTTTCAAACCTGAAATCTTATTTATTATTAGGTGAACGTGTAAGAGAAATTACTTTTTATAAGGATCGAATCTAAGTAATTTCGATTGTGAGCCGAACTCTCTATCAATTTATCCTGGTTGTTTTTATAGCCTGGAGATCCTGGAATCCTTTACACATACTCAGAGTTCTGACCTCTCAGGACTTCTTGTTATCCCGGACTTTTCACCTTGATGCACTTTCTTGGGTGTTGTTTTCCATGTGGTCCGTTGCTGAAGGGCATACGGACGTCCTGGCGTGCTTATCAAGAGTTAATCGCGAGCCTCCATTCTCCTGTCTGCTATGAGTTTTTGTCTTCTGTCTGGGTCAGGTTATTTTATCATCTTTGAAGTTTGAGAAAATGTAAAATAAACTATTTTACATTCCTTAAACTTTTTTAGTCTACATGTTTATTAGTGTTCTTTCACGATGACATTGTTCTTCCAGCGAGGTGATCATCTCTCTCCCACAAAAACGACGTCGTTAACACTTTCGTAATTTCGCACAGGTCTTTCATATCTCACTTACTTTTCAACTGATTTTCAGGTGATTTCTGTAACGTCATGTGATTTAACCCGCACAAATTGCAAGTAATAAATGAACTAGGAAGATGGTGTGAGAAACTTTACTAATGGTGAAACTCCCATGACGGCTCCTGTCACTTGAAGGGAAATATGTATCTGTTCTCTCGTAAAAAAAAAGTTGCAACACAACTGGTCATCTTCCCCGTCGAGGTGGAGAGAGTCGAGTTACTCAGCAGGGCAGCATGACGAGGCGAGTGTCTTGTACGCAATAATCCGCGTAACAATCTTACCAGCATTTTAAAACTGTTTCAGTGAACGAGGGACCTGAGGCGACTTATTCTCTTGCAAATCCAGAACTAAAAAGTGAAGGATTTAAAAGGTTTTTGACTTGAGGAGAGATTTCTCAATATGAATGTTATGAAGTCGTCAAAAAAAAAAAAAGGATTTAAACAATGATTTGTTGTGGTTTATTAATTTTTTCTTTTAGGAATTAATTACACATTTTCAGAAATGAAGGCGAGGTGTGTGTGTGTGTGTGTGTGTGTGTGTGTGTGTGTGTGTGTGTGTGTGTGTGTGTGTATTTGGTTCATATATATGTGTTTATGTGTTTGAGTGTGTTTACGTCTGTGTGCATGAATTTATGTGTTTTTGAAGATATATGTGTATGTGAGAGTGTGTGTGTCTGAGTGTATGTGTGTACATGTGTATATGCACTCACCTAGTTGTGGTTGCAGGAGCCGAGTCACAGCTCCTGGCCCTACCTCTTCTCTGGTCGCTACTAGGTCACTCTTCCTGCTCCATGAGCTTTATCATACCTCTTCTTAAAACTATGTATGGATTCTGCTTCCGCTACATCACTTCCCAGACTATTCCACTTCCGGACAACTCTGTGACTGAAGAAATAGTTCCTAACATCCCTGTGATTCGTCTGAGTCTTCAATTTCCAACTGTGACCCCTTATAGCCGTGTCCCATCTCTGTAACATCCTGTCTCTGTCCACCTTGTCGATTCCTCTCAGTATTTTATATGTCGTTATCATATCCCTCTTATCTCTCCTGTCCTCCAGTGTCGTCAGGTCGATTTCCCTTAACCTCTCCTCGTTGGACATACCCCATAGCTCTGGGACTAGTCTTGCTGCAAACCTTTGCACTTTCTCTAGGTGTAGGTTCCAAACTGGTGATGCATACTCCAGTATGGGCCTAACGTGCACAGTGTACAGGATCCTGAACGATTCCTTATTAAAATGTCGAAATGCTGCTCTTAGGTTTGCTAGGCGCCCGTATACTGCAGCAGTTATTTGGTTGATGTGCGCCCCAGGAGATGTGCCCCGTGTTATACTCACCCCAAGATCCTTTTTCTTTAATGAGGCTTGTGGTCTCTGGTCCCCTAGACTGTACTCCGTCTACGGTCTTCTTTGCTCTTCCCCAATCTTCATGACTTTGCACTTGGTGGGGTTGAACTCCAGGAGCCAGTTGCTGGACCAGGCCTGCAGCCTGTCCAGATCCCTTTGTAGTTCTGCCTGGTCCTCATTCGATTGAATTCTTCTCTGCAAACAGGGACACTTAGGAGTCTATTCCTTCCGTCATGTCGTTCACAAATGCCAGAAACAGCACCGGTCCTAGGACTGACCCTGTGGAACCCCGCTCGTTACAGGCGCCCACTCTGACACCTCGCCACGTACCATGACTCGCTGTTGTCTTCCTGACAGCTATTCCCTGATCCACTGCAGTGCCTTCCCTGCTATCCCTGCCTGGTCCTACAGCTCTTGTGGGGAACTGTGTCAAACGCCTTCTTACAGTCCAAGGAAATGCAGTCTACCCACCCCTCTCTCTCTCTTGTCTTACCGCTGTCACTCTGTCATAGAACTCCAGTAGGTTTGTGACACAGGATTTCCTGTCCCTGAAACCATGCTGGCTGTCGTTGATAAGCTCATTCCATTCTAGGTGTTCCACCATTCTTCTCCTGATAATCTTCTCCATGACTTT